TCATTGAGAAGATACCGTTGAATCGCTCTCTCGGAACGAACTTCGTCTCCTCCGGTATAAAACGCATAGCACGGCTTAATGTCTCATCAAACTGCCCGATCCAGTCACCAATAGCAGTGTCCCTCGGTTCATTGAGAGCTGGGGCATGATCATAAGAGCCCAAGCCGAAGAAAGTACCATGATCACGGGCGTATACATGATGCTGTGGCCATCTCACCCAAGGCGCCTTGCGTAATTTTGGCGTGTGATGCTCGCCATACATGTATGGATGCGCGACAGGTACCACTGGAATTGGAATGTCGAACTTGCAAAGGTTACTTGCCCAAATTCCCGTGGCAATAATGACTTTCTTTGCCGGGATGAGCCCTGATGTGGTCATCACACCATTCACGCAGCCATTGGCCTGTTGGACTTCGGTAACTTCTGCTTCGATGAGTTCGACGCCCTTGGCTTGTGCGTTTTTCTGATAGAACGAGGTTATTCTGATAGCATCCGCAGCCCCATCACCAGGAAAGTACAAAGCTATTTGGTGATCGTCATTGACTAGGTCTGGGGCTAAGCTAACTGCCTGCCCGGAGGATATCAATTCGGCACGGAGTCCAGCTCTCTTAGCCAACTCACATCTCGACCTTAATCGGTCGACGCCTTCACAGCTGGTAGCAATCTCAAGACCTCCAACAGCATCGAATCCGCCGGGTACCTTCGTGTATTCTCTCACAGTGTCCATGGCAAGGCGGGTAAGAACCTCAGATTCATTGAATTGACCAACAAGGCCGGGAGCATAACCTGTCGAGCCGTTCAACTGTGAAAACGACCGATCGATAAGAACCACTTTCTTGTCAGTCTGGGATAAGAAATAGGCCAGCGCGGACCCCACGATTCCTCCACCAACAATGGCAATATCAGACGTGGTCTTTGAGGATTCCATCGTGTCTTGCTGCAGGTATTGGGGATTTTGACCTCGAAAGCACAAGGAGAAAGTATTCTGGAGGTCATGCATGTCGATTAAATACTAATCGGTGATCACGTTGTAACTTAGAAATGGGTGGGGTGGTTCTCTTGGTGTCTCGTATCCCGAACAGAATCAGGCCATGAACTATATATATCTGTTTATGTAGAATCACCGTGACACCGGTAGTACGCGGGGGAGGTGCCGGAGATTGCCGAATATACGCCGTAAAGAAGGATATGACGTCTGTCTATGTAGTAGGTACATTCACAAAACCGAACAAAATAAACCTCCTTTATCCCGATCCCAGGTATATGTAGCCAAAATGTGGGGTGGAAAGGCAGAGATGGCGGCCTAAGGCAGCGTGGCGGGTGTCCACTTTTGGGAGGGACTTTGAATTTGACTCACGGAAAGAATTCCACATCCCACTAACAATGCAACTCCACACCGAATGACCTCACCGGGCAAGGGAGTTTACCGATTCTTCGGGAGACTCGACTAGTTTGATCAACACGAGCGGATCGTTTGATTTGATGGGATTTGTGGGAACCTGCAACTCTGAGTCAAGAGCGTTGCCTAGTGTGCGCCCTGTTGATGGCATCTGGAATTTAGAATCGAATGGAAGGCGGACAAGGCCAACGGAACCGCCCTGCGTGAGAACCAATTGGAACCAGAAACCGTGGCATCTTCTGAACAACAATTGTCAACTTCAAAGCTTGCCGATCGAGCTGGCTTTTAACAGCTATTGAGGTCGCCATCGTGCCCCGATTGGTGCCGACTTTATCAACGAAAACTATATATCGCACAATCTTTCCATCGCGCCCCTTGCAGATACTCGGTAGCGCTCCCTGGTATGGAGGCTTTATTTTGATTAGACCCTCCACAATATCTGCCTTCGTACCTCGAGACGACGCTATTAGATGGCCATTGTCATGTCCTTACATGGCTCTAGCGTAGCCGCAAATCTGATGCTTCTTCCTGTTTGAATTATACTAGTTTTAAGATGTCGATGTTCAGGTCACCTGCAGATTTCTCTTCCGAATCTGAGTCCGAGGAATCTAGCTTGGATAGGGGTCCGAACGAACAAGAAGATGCTCCATCAATATCTACTGCCAAGAAGGCTAAGGCTCCCGGAACGGGAACGAAGTCGCCTCCCCTTTTGGAAGGAAGCAGCTACGAAAGCCTCGAGGGCGATACAAATGAAAACAATGAACTTGATGTCGACACCGAAGTTCATTCTAATATGATGACGGCTGCCCTCCTTGAATTCTACTGTCTCAGCCGGGCTGCGGATATTCTCAATGCACAAGAAGGCTCACACAAGCGATACACACGTGACTCGCCAGAAGTCCAGTACCTTGGAAGAAAGATGTATAATTATAAGTCACGATTTCTCTCCTCCCATGGGGTAATAGCCGGGGGAATCGAAAAAGACGAGCTGCGGACAACAAGACAGTACTATCGGGACAACCTTGATGTTCTTGGCATGTCGGCACTGGAGGATCTCAACATAGACGATACCCAGCGGCGTGTACCACCGCGCAGAACAACGGGAGACATTGTCTTAGCTTCGAAGGCCTCAAATACTGTGCAACGTAACCCAGATCAAGATTATGCAGGCCCTGCAAAACGTGGATTATACAGGCCGTCCCTTGCAGATATCGGGAAACGACTCCCCAGTACAGAGAACATCAGGGCGTTAGAAAATGTTCATCTTGACGTAGGGAGTCTACCAAGCCAATCGTTACACCTCGCAGGAAGCTCACCTGCAAGCTTCCCATTGTTTGAAAGCAATTTGCCCACACCACATAACCACTTATCACGTTATGCGACGGAATTCGCCGAAGTCAAAGTCCTCGGCCGTGGATCATTTGGAGAGGTGTATCACGTGAAAAACCATATCGACGGACAGCCATATGCGGTAAAGAAGATTCCTATCAGCCAGCGACGGCTTGAGCAATTGCAAGATGGAAACGAGAACCAGCTAGAAAATATCATGAAGGAGATACGAACCTTGGCTCGGCTTGAGCACACAAACGTCGTCCGCTACTACGGAGCGTGGGTAGAACAGGCGCACGTATCGGGTTATGTACGAAACGGCCGCGAGGTCCCTGCCGAGGTTGAGAGTGAGAACACGCAAAGCGCCCTGGCCGGTCCCGAACCGAGCGACAGCGAAAGCTTCGGAGTCGTGTTCGAATATTCCCAGGCTTCGGCTGGGGGCGTTGAAGACGAGGAGGACACCGAATCGATTCCTCGTGACTTTGACGCTTTTACCAATAGCCAGGTATCTACCTTTGGAGGGACGGACGACGATATTTTCACGGACGGGTTAAGCTACGACCCATCCAAGCTGCAGATACAACGACGACATCGCGGTGGGCCTCAAGTTCCTGCAGTGGTTTTGCATATTCAGATGTCACTGCATCCCATTTCACTTAGCTCATATTTGAACTCGCAACCATGTGAGGTTAAAGATGACCAGATACCACGCCGACATTGCTACCACTTGGCCCCGTCATTGAGACTCATGCTGCGCATAATCTCAGGAGTCGAATATCTGCACTCTAAGGGGATAGTACACCGGGACCTCAAGCCTGCTAACATCTTTCTGTCGTGTCCTGATCATCGAGACTCTGACGGATGCTCTCCCTGTCAGTTAGATAACGAATATTCTTCCAGGTATTCCCACCCTCGAATCGGTGACTTCGGTCTAGTTGCCGATATCTCCCACTTGAATGAGCATCAGTCAGATAGTCCCAGTACCTCTTTACAGCACAATACGAAGGTGAATCATGTTGTTGGGACAGAGTTTTATCGCCCACCTTTGGTTCATCTCGCTGTAGATAATGCCGAGAGCTCAGAAGACACAGGCGGCTGTTACAAGGTTGACGAGTCCCTGGATGTCTTTGCGCTTGGGGTGATCCTTTTCGAGCTTCTGTATCGCTTAAACACCAAGATGGAACGCCAGTTTGTTCTAGGGGAATTGACGCGCTGTCAGCAGGATCAGTCAACAGGATCCGCTTTGGGACGTGCGTCATTCCCTTGTGATTTCGCACAGAAGATTGATTTGGGAGAGGAGAAATATGACGGGCAAGTATCCATCGCCGAGGAATTAATGACCTGCATCAGTGGGATGCTCGAACCCTTACCGCAGAAGCGCTGGAGCTTATCTGACGTCAAGCAGCATCTGCACAATATTCTGACTGTCGCTCAGAGGGCACCGTGCCCCTAATGGGGTGTGTCACAAGCCATAGCTGTGTCAGGAGTACTGCATATTTGCTCATATATTGCATCATTGTACATCTGTCTCGATCAAGCGCTGAGTACATGAAATATATCGGAGACTTGAAACATCAAGTCGAAGATCATTGCGGCGGAGAATACTGTGAAATAAGCATATAACATTAGAATCTAACCCCCATTCCTCTCACTCGCAAGCTGTTGAATGCTGTAATACTGCTCTTGTCCCATTCCTCTATTGTCCCAATGATCTACACTGGCAGAACCCAACTTAGGGCCGCTTTTTCCTCAGTGACTGACCCCTGCTGGCCACGGCGAGAGTGATTTTATAGTGCCATCCACTCGCACTCTGGCTTGTTTCATCCTGGATGAAGCTGACCTCTCTATGTTGGCTGAACCAAAGTTCTCAGATAATCCAACACAGGACTTTGGAATAATTGAAAACAAGAGCCTTCGGTTAATAGATGGTATGTTGGTACCAACCCCAGTTCAGCCATAGGCGATATTGAGGTAGTTGATATTACCCAATGAACTTTCTGGACCGTATCTATCAAAGTCTCATAGTTAATCCTAATGCTTTAGAGAATGCACTGAGGTACATGTATATAGCGGAGTAGCGAGGTTGGACCTTCTGAGTACTACACATGTAGGATGTCCGCGGCCCTCGGTTTCGGTCGAGACGTCCCCCAGAAAGCTTTCCCCGCATCAACCCCGGATAAGATAAAGAGACCCTGATCTACAACCGAGGACCACCATATCCAACGCAGGAGTGCCGTTAATTATTCTATTTTAATTCATCTGTCATTAAACCATGGCCCGCCAAGATCGCGCCCCAACAGCCCCATACAGCGAGCCCTTGCTCCCCCAACTCGACGTCAAGAACCCATACTACACCGACCTCCACCACAGTCTCCGCGCCTATGTTCGCGACTACGTAGAATCATCAATTGCGCCGTACGCCCATGAATGGGAAGCCGCCGGCCAAGTCCCCGAACACGTCCGCCGGCGCCACTGCGAACTGGGGTTCGGAATCGTTCATCCCCTAACCACGATCGAAGATGCCGCCGGACTATCCCTCCCGAACAATGTGCCGCGCGAGAAATGGGATACGTGGTGCTCGCTCATTGTCGGCGATGAGCTCATCCGAACCGGATACGTAGGTGTGATCTGGGGACTGGGCGGTGGGAATGGCATCGGGTGTCCGCCAATTGCACGGTTTGGAACAAAGGAGCAGAGGCAGAGGTGGCTTCCCGGGGTGGCGAAGGGGGATATTCGATTTTGTTTGGGGATTACGGAGCCTGATGGTTAGTGATGTTCTTCTCACCGGAGTGATGGGCAATTGTTGTGTACTAATGGGTTTGATAGCTGGATCGGATGTCGCGAATATTTCGACGACGGCAAAGCGCGAAGGCGATTTCTATGTTGTTAATGGCGCGAAGAAATGGATCACCAATGGTATCTGGGCTGACTATTGTACTGCTGCGGTGAGGACAGGGGGGCCTGGAAGGGGCGGTATTAGCTTGCTGGTGATTCCTCTGGCGGCGCCTGGGGTGACGCGGAGAAGGATGTATAACTCCGGTGTTCATGCAAGTGGTGAGGACACTTATTTGCCATTGAGATTCTTGCGTCCTTGATCGCTAATGTGCTCTGTGCTAGGATCTACTTTCATCGAGCTGGATGACGTCCGGGTCCCGGTAGACCACCTCATCGGAGAGGAAAACAAGGGCTTTCCGCTCATTATGTCAAGTAACTCCATCCATTACTATATCGAGTTATATCTGTTCAAGGCTAATACCGTGTTAGATTTTAACCCCGAGCGTCTCAGCCTCGCCTGTGCATCGTTGCGTTTAGCTCGCGTGTGCGCCGAAGATGCCTTCCATTACGCCACACAGCGCGAGACATTCGGCGCCCCGTTGATACAAAGACAAGCCATACAGTCGAAGATCTTCAAGTTCGGGCTAATGATCGAACCCGCATACGCGTTCATGGAACAGCTTGTGAATATCATTGAGCAGACCAAGGACAGACCCACCGACGATGTGCGAATTGGAGGCATGACTGCGTTGCTCAAAGTGATGTCTACCAGAGCCCTGGAGAAAAGCGTCAGAGAGGCCCAGCAAATACTCGGTGGTGCTGGGTATAATAAGGCTGGAAAGGGGGCACGTATTGAGCAGATTAGTCGTGATGCCCGGGTTCATGTTGTTGGGGGCGGAAGTGAGGAGATCATGATGGGTCTTGCGCTGCAGGAGGAGACGAAAGCGCTTCGAACGAGGCGTCAGGCTTTGGAGAAGAAGGCGAGGCTTTAGCGTGGTGCTCCCAATTCACATCTTTCTTGCATTGTACATATTTCCGGACCATTTAGTTAACGTCGTTTCCGAATCAAGATAGCAGACAAAATGCAATATACTTATGTTCAATGGAAGTAGTAAATGCACTATCCCATAGTTACATAAGTTCTTGGAGTACATGTTCACAAGACGAACATATTCAAAGGGAATAAAACAACCAAGAAAACAAATATTGTACATCCTCCTGAAAGATCCCCAAGGAGATGACACCAATGGCCCCAAAGACCAGAATACACACAAGGTAATCAATCGGCCAACTCACCCGCTCTTAACAAGATCCCAAGGATTAACCGTGCTTCGATTTGGCTCCGTACCCTCAATCTGCTCGATTCGCCTTCTTATCACATCATAGTGCTGCGTCATATCAAGAAGAGCCTGTCTGAGCAATGGAAGGTTGTGAAAGGCCTCGGGTCTAAGAGGAAAGGGTATCGCCTTTCCGTCATGTCTACACTTCACCCTACCATCCTCTGAAGAAGCTGCGGTCATACAAGTCATAGTCCTTCCAGGCTCTGGCCCCTTCGCCCATGTGACTGACTTTGAATGCTCAGACTCTTGCACATTAGTTGGCCCTTGGGTACTGGGATCACTCTGGCCCTGAGATGAGCTAGGCTGCAAAAGTAAGAGAAACTGCTCGGCCTCTTCATCAGACACAGGACGTGCGATGTGAATTTCCTGGCTGGCGACAGGCTGAGACAACGGATCAGTCCCCTCTCTAGTACCAGACGAACTGCCGATATCCTCAGAGCTCTCACAGTGAATACCTAACCAAGACAATTAGCATATGCACCAAGACACGCTAAGTGATACTATACTCACGATGAGCACAAGTATAGCGTCTACTAAAACGACAATTCGCACAGGACCCATGGATCTTCGTGTCGGCCGTAGTATCAGAGCCTATGATACAGGCCTTCCATACTCCAAGATGCTCTTTGCAGAAAGTACAAGGCTCGGAGGCTACAGTGCCGCGTGTTTGAACGAACGCTGCCAGGCGCGACAGGTTGTTCGTGAGTTCTCGTACGACTGGGCGGTTGTTTCGGTCCGTCTGCCAGTCTAGGGTTCGCTGGACTGGGAGATTTAAGTAGTATTCAATTGCTGGGTTGGGGTTCGGTCCTGCGTCGGGGAGATCATGAGGCCCTAATCCTAAGACAGCGGGTGTGTCTGCTAAGTGGGCCTCATTAACATGCTGACTGAAGTGGAATGCTCTGGTTCAGCTTACGTGCTTGCTTGGAGCGCTTTGCCTTTCTGGTCGGAGTCGAGGTTGCGCGCTGTTCGGGTCGTGGTGTTGATATGTTTGATGAAGGCGCGTCTTTGGGGTTATGCTCCGGCTTGCGCTTTTGCTTGGTGTCCATTGGTTCAGGGTTCATGATGGGCATAGTGGAGATGAATACGATAAGATATGGAAAGCCGGAGGATTCGTTGAATGCGAAAAGTGTTTTGGGGGAGTCTATCCCAAGATTTGAGTAGAAAGACAGCTGAGGGAGGGAAACAAAGCAGGATCAATGACAGTTAAAGGCTACATGTTACTCAGGTACTAAATGAAAGAATATGTGCTGTGTTGACAGCTTTGTCTCGGCATTATCGCATTGCTTTGCACCTGTCGTGATGGCGAGCACGATCTACGTGTTTATTACCTCGTTTGCTCACCACAAACACAGCTGGGAGATGTATAACGACATCATATCGTGTAGGCCAAACAAAACGATTATGAAAGACAGCATTAGGATATAGTATATTGTATTTCACTGTTCCTGCTGTTTAATAAGAACATACAATGCAGATCAATGTCATCTGCACAAGATACTTAGAGCTGTTTTTGAGTCTGCACTGATAATCGAAATGCAAAACCGATCATAGACTACAACTACGCCTACTCCAGTACACAATCTATGAATGGATCTTAACATAATTTCAAGATTTTTATATATCGAAAATGAAATCCACAGGGTCCAAGAGCCCTTATTCACTTAAAACGTTAGACCAGATGTCTACAGCAAGTTAAATCTGAGTGCCTATGATCTACTACATTCAGGCTCGCCGAATAGGCAGACACAGTCTACCTTACTCATCTGCCTGGACCATTACGAATAGCTTCAAGGAACAGGAGATCCATACTGCCAACTGACTTGGATCAATCGCGCTTAAGGTCATTTCCCTCAGACCGATAGGATGAAGGTAGAAAAGTATCAACTCACAACAACCATAAATATTCAAGAACTAGTAAAACAGAAGAAAACTATACTCGGTCTGCCATATTAATTTGCTAGTGCCTTTAACTTCTAATTATTGAGGTGTCTGATGCTTGAAGTGCTTTGCTGCGTTTAGGGTATTGGCTGGTCAGGAGAGAAAGCACGTGGGTCCATCCCTTTCCAGTTACTTTTAAGCACGTCCTTATTGACTACAATGTGTGTACAGAGTACGGTACCACACTTAGGAGGAAAATGATTTTTCAGTATCGTTCTTCCCTTCACATGAATGGTACAATAAATGAAGAACGGTTGAATAGTGGGCAGTGCTATGGAGGACGCCCATTGGTTACTCCAGACTACTTCAAAATACCCACACTGAGATAAAAATACCATAAATCACCTAGACTGACCCAGTCTTACATGAAGTGATCCCTTTTTAGGCTAGTGATCAGGGCTCGCAATAGACCCTGGCAGGCTAAGCGGAAGCTCCCGCCTGAAAAGACTTGGGCTCCGACGTTAGCGTCGTGTATAGGATCACTAGTTTGATGGGCCTCATCGGATGTCTCAGTTTCTGACTGCATAAGCGAAATTGGACCCGCCGTTCTGGAATGATTGGGTGCTTGGATTAGCCTCGCAGTAATCAGATTAAAGAATGATCCCCCTGAATTTTTCCCTATTTGCACTCCAGTCCATGGAGTTCGTATCCATGGTTCGCCAGGCATAAAGCGGTTCATTCAATATTCTTGATAAAGATCTGCTATGCGAGTATCCGTTCCAATTTCTATATCGTAAAATATCGACGGGTCCCAGACGTCCATAACAGGCACCGATGCGCTGTCTAAGCTTCTGCCAAGTTGGCTTGGCTGTCTTGGTATTCCTCTCTGGGCAAGGAGCTCTAGCCGATCTGGGAATCGATGTGAATAATGTCGGTATGTATGGGCCTTTACTACACGATGGTTTGAGGTATCCATACTGACCCAGTACTTGGTAGACTCCTTGAAGCAGGCCGGCAAGGCGGTTGCTGCCCCCATGATGGATTTCTACAAGAAGAACGAAACCGAAGGCATTCCCGGAAAACTTACCGACACATGGTATGTGGCCGGAAGCATGTTCATGACATTGATCCAGTACTGGCAGGCGTCGGGCGACGACACCTACAACGCTGTCGTGTCGCATGATTTGATGTTCCAGGCGGGCGAGAATTATGATTACTATTCGAAGAATGTCAGCGATTGGCTGGTGCGTTGTCCCTGCTGTGTCTTTAAGTGCTATACTACTGTACCGGATCATTAACTGTCGCTAGGGCAATGATGACCAAATGTTCTGGGGTCTCGCAACCATTACAGCTTCCGAGGCCGGATTCCCGGAGATCTCCGGCAAGCCCTCGTGGACATCTCTTGCCCGTGTGGTGTTCAACATGGAGGTAGAACGATGGGATGAATCGGCCTGCAACGGCGGCATGCGGTGGCAGCTCTGGCCCTACCAGGAGGGCTACACCATGAAAAACGCCATCTCCAACGGTGGGCTCTTCGAGCTTGCCGCACGGCTTGCTCGATTTACTAAGAACGAGACCTACGCGGAATGGGCAGACCGCATCTGGGACTGGTCTGCCGGCTCGCCACTTTTACAGACCGATCGCTGGTATGTCGCCGACTCGACATCGAATTTGAATAATTGCAGCGATGCAGGCGACCAGCAGTGGTCTTACAACTACGGGACATATCTCGCCGGTGCAGCGTTCATGTATAATCATGTGAGTAGTTCTGGTACTCTTAATGGGGCGTGGAAGCTGACTGACAATACCAGACGAACGGTTCAGAGAAGTGGCTCAAGCGCGTCGACGGCCTGCTCGGCTCTGTATTGACGACCTTCTTCCCGAAGGAAGGCAATGGCGTTGTGCTCTCCGAAGTCGCCTGTGAGCCCATCTTGACATGCGACCGGAACCAGCTGGGCTTCAAGGGATACGTTGCCATGTGGCTCGCGTTCACGGCCATTCTGGTTCCCTCGACGAGAGAGCGCATCACGCCGAAGCTGCAAGGGTCCGCCGCGGCTATCTCGAAGCAGTGTTCTGGAGGGGAGCAAAACCTCTGTGGAGAACGGTGGTATTCAACTGAGCCGGCGGGCCCAACCGGTTTGGAGGTGCAGATGGCTGCGCTGGGTGGTATCACGAGCAATCTAATGCTCTTTGAGGCACAATCACCCAAGACTATTGAGTCCAATCCAGATGCTACAGAGACTGAGATTGACCACCATAATGACGAGGAGCCGAATAAGCCTAAGCCGATAACTACTGGCGATCGGGCTGGGGCAGGGATTATCACGGCTGTGGTCGCAGTAGCGGTGGCTGGTACTGTCGTATGGATGATAATCCCGTAGGGGTTGGGCGTTGGCGAAGTGGACAAGACCTTTCTTGTAACTGATAAAATATCAAATCATCATCCATACCACAATATCTTTATACTCAACATTATGCCATCGCGTTTGTTACGTTTCCTTATTTTGATATTTTCCTTACTTTGTCTGGCGTTCAGGTGTTCCATATACTGTGGGAATGGTGCTAGTTTGTTGCATCTGTTGATTTGATAAGAGATACAAAGACCTAGCTACCTCCATACCATATCGCACACAATGTGCTCCGCTGTCAGTGTATAGTACGCGGAGCAATCTATTTCAGAATGTCAGTCAAGATTGGGGGCTTGTAATCCAATTTATATTCTTTCTCATGCGCATTCCGGTTAACATATACCGGTTCATCGGGCCCAACCTCGACATATCATCGTGTGGCCCATGTAGTGTCCTGGAGTGGTCTATCCTTGACTGTGTTGCATTAATATGCTGTATCTTAGGGTGGGTTAGTTTCGATAGGATATACCGGTGCTTTGACGTGAACTGTCATAGATCTGAAATAATCGATCGACAATCGATCTTCGGTGGGTCAGATCACCATATGCTACGGTATATTAAGTGGACTCGGTAGTACAAATAATATGCTGGTAGTTGTTTGAAGCTCTTCAACAGCCCGAATTCAATATTATTTCATCTACTTTAACTCACGATTGGAGTAATACTGGAAATGGTTTTCATAATTGTAGACCATCGCTCTGAGATGAGGATTTCGGCATCGTCAGCCCTATCAGGACTACAAGGAAGTTTTCTTAATACGTGCCTTTTCTTTGTGTTTGGCAACTTGAGAGGCTTTACTCTTTTTTATGCATCTTTAGATCACTTGCTAAAAGGAAAAAGAAGAAAAAGAAATTGATCCAGCATAGAATCTGTCTATACATGCCCTGGCGGTAGGGTTGGGTCTCCTAATGTGCTCCGACCAGATGGCACCGTCAAGCACTCCGTGAGAGGTGATAACTCCAAGTCGTTGTTCTCCACCGAGGGAGGCTTGACCATGGAGCGCTGATCAGATAGGGTTGTACGGGTGTCCTGGGTCGGTAGAGTGCTGATCCCTTGTGGGAAACTAACACTGTCCCACACCTTGAATACGCGTCGACGGACGGGCGTTGGACTGTCATTATTAACATTGTTCTGGGGACCTGACTGTCCCTCTGACCAACAGGAACAGTTAAATCTATGACAGACTATCCGTGTCACCGGGGTTATGGTGGGCAGACATGCGCATACTATACCCACCGCACATTCAATGACTGACCATATCGTTGATGGCCCGATGGTTCCTTATCCACAGGTCCGATTAGAGGAAGATTCAGTCTCCTGCAACAGTGGGGGAAGATATTGAAGATGCGCATACCAGGGACATTGTGTGGTGAATACAGGAACAGAGTGGTAAATCGATAAATACTCACACCGACAACGCTTCCAGGAGGATGTGTCAGCATCAGTCCACCAGGTGGCCAACAGATTCCACGACCACTTACAAAATACCAAGCATAAAGATACCAATCAGAGACAGACGGTAGAGGACGCTCCTGTGTAATTGCCAACAAGATCGAACGGGCAGCGATAAAATGGCAACATCAGTGAGAATATTGGGTAGTGCGACACAGTAGAAGGCCAGTTGCAGACTGATGCAATGTCCAGGAATGCCGATATCCCACGCCTTGGCCACCGGCGTGCACTGGAAAATGGCTGCTGGTACGAAAGCAGTGGCCCAGAGCGTGACAACCGCACCACAGATCATCGCGCCCACGCGAAACAGCCGAGAGATGTTGGTGAAAATACGGCGATACATCATCAGGATGGAAAGCTTGATGGTCAGGAGATTGATCACATAAATTATCTCAAAAACATAGAGCAGCTAGACCAACATGGATGATCAATGATAAATTCCACCTCTGGTCCACCGAGAGGACTTACTTTGGCCACCATCAGCGAGCTTTCAGCAGGGAGATCCACCTTGTTGTATCCCAATCCATAATGAATCACTAACGTGACTATCAGCACCGACCTCGAATGAGATCTACCAGGGGGCCCACCTTACTTCCCAGAGCAATGCCGGAGATTGTGAAGAGCAAAGCCTTCACACGAACATTTTGTTAGTATTGAACTTAGGCAGAGTTACCGACAGCGGACCTACCAAGCTTGCAACAATGAGATAGTCATCCATGCCTACAGTCACTTGGCGGATCTGTCGAGCGACGAATCGAAGCGCAATGCTGATGACGGCAAGCACATTGACGGCGATGACATTGTTCCGAAACCCATCCGACTGAGAGTTCATTGCTTGTTCTCTTTATTATTGCGGTCACCCATCTCAGTCAAGGTGGGTGAAGGGTTGACGAAGGGATCTTAAATAAAACCCACTCAACGGAGCTTGCCGCAAGGCTATGCAAAAAGCGAGGAGACATGTCCAGTCGCAAGGAGAAAGTATTAGACGTGTCTCAAAAACAAACCATTATCATCGGTGATCCGTGCACATTCCCACCGAGCAGACATCCGAAGCTGAAGGCTATTGGCTCTTCGGTATGTGATAGTAGATGGAGGTGATCCTCCGCACTCTTCACGATGTTCGCTATATCCCGTCATTCGTGCACTGGCTCTTAGCCCACCGTGCGCTTGCTCGCATCATGATACTTGCCAGGCGTGGCCAGATAGGAGTCTTGCTCCTCTGCAGATCGTATCCTGATTGAGCCACTCGGATCGCCAACTCCAACCACAAAAAAGGCAACTGTTCGGCGTACATTCTTGATTGCCAATCATACTGCATATAGTTAGATTAGAGCCTACAAGAAGCTGCATAAAAGAGGCTATATCGCACGCACCTCGGGAGGTCAGGCGTTTCACACGGTTCTATCTGCCTCGCAACCTCTAAGGGCCACTTTTTATGTTCTCTCCCATATCCAACCTGTGGAAATCTCCATCTGCCACCGCCACCAAAGACGAGGACATAAAACAAAGAGTATACTGTATACATCATGCTAACAGCAAATGCTGTGCTGAGGCCAGATACTATCAACAGCCATCCTGGCCAGAAAACCCACTTTGATCCCCGAATGCGTCGGATTATGTAGGTGAGACTCGATGTCGTTCACTGACATTCGTGACAAGAGACCAGACTCTGGTCGAAACACATGCAGACATTAGTTATTTAAAATGGTAATCCTAGACCCCCGCTTAATACATCAATCTTAAATTATCTCTATAATGTCAGAAATTGAAGCGCATGTATCATTACATCGGAGAGGGTAAGAAATAATCTCTCCCATCATAGTGAGAATCGCACCCTTATACTATGAATTTATACATCATGTTATGAATAAAAACTTCGTTGGAATGCATTAGGAGGTATCTAAGAGAGGGTAGAGTAAGTAGAGAGATGATTCCGCCGACTTAACTCTGTATTGTTATGGGGTAGAAGGGTGGAGAAGAGTCTGTTTGCGTAGGCGCCTACAGAAGACACTGCATTCGGCTGTTAAATGCATCTACAATACCTTACATCTATTCTTAGTAGATTGTACAGACTTCCAATTCTAAGAAAACTTCAGGAGGATATGATTGCATCCACTTCGTCGAATAGAACTCAACCATTTATGTCTCACCATGCGCCTTCAGGCTTCATGAGCAACAGCCAATTGCCAGCAGAAGACACAGTGGAGTAATACTGTCCGTTAAGGAAGCACGGAGACTTCCAGCCCACTGGACTCAGTGTAGCCGCATAGCAGAATTCATCGTCAGCGCAGAGTTCGGCACATTGATAAGCATTGTCGACTTGAGTTCCAGCACCATCGCATGGCAATAGTAGCCGTCTCGCTCGGACCAGGCGACGTCATGGACTGGGTGTACTGTGGAGATGCCTGCTTCTCGCCGGGGGTGTGGTTGGACGACACCACGAGTGAAGAGGCATATTCAATGGGCTGAGCAGCTGTCTCTGAAAGAAGGAGCCGAAGAATGTAGGAGCCAGGTCTACAAGGTTGACACCGAAACGGAAGGGGGTGGGCCGTACCGTCCCTAAACCACTATGCTGAGAATGTGGCATGGGAATGGAAGAATGTTCGACGCATCGCCGGAAAAGATTGCGGATGTATTACATGCTACAGAGTCCTACGGTCGAAGGAGATAAGCCAAGAGTATCTCATAGGCTTTGCCAAACATAACAGCATCTTGCCATCAATCTTTCATGTGTTTCCCGCATTCAGATAGCTTGACCCATCAGTAGTCATGACTAGCCTTGGAGCAGATGTCCTTGCTTCTAGCAGTTACAGTAGCATGTCCCTCAGACTTACAGAAATAGGTCATCGATTCTGTCGAAAGCAGATCTATTCGCAGATCATCCCCCAGCTACATGGGATCAGGAACGAGCTGGTGCCAAAGCAGAGACTCGTATTAAAGGCTCCAATCTTTCCAATTGATGTTGCCATCCTCTATTTCACAACTGTACAAAACCTCTTGATTGGCTAGACCCGTCCCGGCTTCCCTATTATCCCGTCGACCATGGAGAAGTGGTGGGCTATATTTCTTCTGAGTATCCTCCCACATTCCGCAATCGCCGACGACCTTCGGTCCCAGGTTGCGGATGAACCGCTAGGATATTTTCCCCTGTTGTCGGGGAATAAGTCATCTGCGGCTCGTCCGATCACCCTCAATGACTTATATATCTCCTCAGATGGCCAAGGCAATGAAAAGTGCTGCCCTGTTGGAACGGTCTTTAACGGTAAAGAATGCACAATCCCGCATGCCGCAGTATGTCCTCTTGGCACTTCCCTGCAGGGCAACATCTGTGCCACGACTCCGACTTGCCCAAAAGACTTCCACTTGGAAAGCAACCACTGTACACATAACGAGACACCCTCCTGTCCTCACGGTTCAACCTTCAACGGTGCTTCCTGTGTGAGCACGGAGGAACCTGGATGCCCGGCTGGCACGCAGTTTAATGGCGCTGTATGTGCTGGTGGTGAGGATCCAGCATGTCCTCCAATATACACTGAAGAACAAAGTCTGTGTTTCCACACAGTCTCCGTCCTGTCCACCTGGTATGCAATTCGACGGACACGGTTGCGTTGGGTCCGAACCCCCCAGCTGCCCCCCATACACTCGGCTCCACAACGGTATCTGCGCTTCAACCGAGCCACCTTCATGCCCACACGGACTCGTCTATCAAGATGGTGCCTGCATCCATTCCTCTAAACCAGACTGCCCCCACGGGAGCAGTTTTCATGGCAGCGTATGTGTGTCAGAGGAACTTCCGTCGTGCCCTACAGGTATCTTTGATGGAACTGTTTGTAAGGACTCCCGGTCTCCTACTTGCCCACCGGGATCCACCTTCAATGGGTCTGTCTGCATCGCGAGCGGCAACCCCAGCTGCCCCGAGGAACAGACCCCATCAATACATGGAAACCAGATCCGCTGTTGCCTCAAGGGTCTTGTCTGGAATGGGTCTCTCTGCGTCCTCATACCGGCCGACGGCAACCAATGCCCTCCTGGAAGCAGCTTCGACGGCGAGCGGTGCGTGTACACACCCACAGTTGAGCCACTTTGCCCCCCAGGCTCGACTCTCAATGACGGCTCGTGTGTCTTCAACAGCCACATCTGTGTGACTAACGAAGCCCCTTCCTGTCCACCTGGAACCGGCTTCGACGGGCACAAATGCGTCTCTGAGTTCCAAGCTTCGTGCCCCCCTGATACAATACTCAGCGGCAAAAAGTGTGTTTCCAGCGCTGAGCCCTCCTGTCCCCCCGGGTCGACGTTCAACGGCCACTTCTGCATCTCTTCCGAGCGGCCACACTGCCCACCAGGCTCCCACCTTATCGACAACGCCTGCCGTTACCCCAACCCTCCTGAATGCCCACATGACTCCAGCTTCACCGGAGAGGACTGCGTGACACCGCGCCCCCCGTCCTGCCCACCAGGACTCACCTTCGATGGGGCCACCTGCGTCCACAGCGACCGGCCCTCCTGTATCCATGGGTACATCTTCGACGGCACTAGCTGTGTTTCCTCTGACAAGCCAAGCTGCCCGCCCGGTACCATCTTCGACGGGAAATCCTGCCGTTCGAACGAGTCCCCCAAATGCCCTCCGGGTTCTGCCTTCGACGGCACCACCTGCGCTGCGACTACGCAGCCGTCCTGCCCCCCAGGTCTCACTTTCAATGGCAATGAGTGTGTGACCGGTGAACGACCTGGCTGCCCCCCTGGCGCGACCTTCGATGGCGAGCATTGCGTTAATGAGGAGCGGCCCAGCTGTCCCGCGGGCACCAACTTTAACGGTCGTAGCTGTGTCTCTATAGTGCCCCCATCGTGCCCACCAGGCACTATGTTCGATGGCTCAAAGTGTGTTACTGAGGGCGCACCCAGTTGTCCACCGGGCACCACTTTCCATGGCAATACTTGTGTGGCTAACACTCCCCCACAATGTCCTCCAGGTACCGCTTTTAACGGGTTGATGTGTGTGACGGCAAGCAAGTCAGAATGTTACGAGATGCATGTTTGTCCGCCGGTCTCGCACTTCCAAGTGATGTCTCCTTAGGCCATTGGTGCTTACCGGCTGGCCTCCTGGCTGTCTGACGAAGTATTGTATCCTCCGTACTCGATGAATCCGAGATCTATATACGCGGTGAGAAGCTGTTCACAGATTCATGGTTTGATTTTGAAAATGTGTGATTTATCATGCTGGGAACAATCGGCTCCTACGCGAACGATGCCGATTTACATCCCAAGTTTTGTCAATCACACAGTTTTATGGAATCATCTTCGATAGATAGCACCTTTGGTGAAGCGAAAGAAACATTCCCTTAATAGCGGTCACTGTAATACATAAATTATACCAGTAGTTCAGGCTGAGTGTCATAAGTAGCCGATACAAATGTCTTCTGCAATATGGTCTCGGGTCGGACATCCCCGGCCCTGTCTTCCTGTTGTATAGCAGGTGAATCGGGCGCAATCAAAGCCAACTAAGCTCAGGGAACCAAAGGCGCAGAACGGAGATGTCTCTAGTCGGTTCCCTTTTATTGCCTGCCCCCCATAGCCCCCCTTCATGTGCAAGAACCCCAAGGCTGGGCATTCTTCTCGTCAAGCCCACTTTACTCGTTTATGCAGGGCTTAAAGTACATATGCTGGCAGGGACGATTTGTACGCCAACTCCTCGCCTATGCGAGATGCAGGATACCAGTTATAGGAAGGTGTTTCATGACTCCTAACCTACTACTCCATCTGCGAGGACAGACTGTCGTCAGGATGATGTAGCCTCGGCTGTCACTGTGTTTCTTAAGGGTGGGAGACAGAATAATTCTGTCTTACATGCAAACAGAGTTTTGAATACTGTGGATAGCTTCAAAGCTCGGCTGTCGTGCTGTTTCCGGCTTTGAGGATCCCAGCATTCAGTGGCCAATGCTATCGTTTTCATTCATCTACTCATGAAAATATAACCTGAGATTTATAAGCTACTATTGTGATATATTAGACAAGGCCAACTTGTAGAAGAAACTGGATATCTGTTTATTACCCTGAGAATAAGTTCTATCCTAAAGAGCCTTCCGTCAAACAACTATCCTTTCTTAATGCACATCCCTGTAAGGATATCTATTGTGGCATGTTGCGCGGTGCAAGTGCACTCATTCCTCTGGGTGATACATTGGGCAAGTATACCCATTGTAATCATAAAGATCGGTCAACTGTCAAAATGTAACCGTGGGAATCCCTAGCGGAGTGGCTGACACTCCATTGCGGACGGGGTGTCATCTTAACCTTGTAGGCCAGAATACTACGTGCCAGTCCAATCCGTGGCTGGCCACATTCTTCACCTTCCTCGTTTATGTTCCTTTTGTAAGAGCTTGTATCTGGTTACAATCCTCCATATTACCAAAGTCGCTTCATTGTCTGTAAGGAGGAAAGGCTTCATTCAACCAGACAGATAGCTTCAACTCAATATAGGTTGCATACATCATGGTTCGTCCACGAAAGGTCGCCCCAGCTGCTTGGTCACTGGTTCCACTCACCAAACCAGCCCGTGAGTTGCATTGGTACTGCTAGGCCCCACAGGAGGTGTCACGTACGATAGCGCAATCAAATCATGGTTTTCTGTGGCGTTTGGACCACTGGCCGCCATTATCATTATCCATGATACACCAAACATGACACCGCTCCCTGACTGACAGCGAAAGAGGTGGACGAGATAAGGAGTCTCAGAGACTTGATGCAGGGCTATGGAACCATACTATCAATGCTTTGCCGGATTTCCCTCTATATATTTTATCGAAGAAGTGAAAGCAACCGTCGAACTTCTGACATTTCTTTCATAGAGGTCTACATCCATCCTTCAGTTTACAATCATTACACTGCATGCACCAGAGACCTTAGATGGAACGTATCTTGTATATATTCAGGGTCACATCTAGTTACAAATCGTTGTCCAGAATGTGATTTCCCAGGATGAAGTCTTTAAAATGTTGCTGGTAGGGTACATCTGGAATAAAAACTCATACCATGGGAGCAAAAGAGCAAATGGCCCGGACGGCTGGACCCCATCTACGTTCTGGCTACGAAATTCTGAAGGGCAAAAATTGGAGCACCCACTATAGGTGCTGTGCACACCTCCCCTTCACCTAGCTACAATATCTTTGGCGTGCATTGGCCCAGCTACATGCCGCGCAAGGGTTGAGGGAGGCCATATCGTAAGGATGCTTAGAAAACAGAATAATAATAAAACTATCAACAGATCGGGACACAGTTCAGTAACACTGTGATGATATCTGAGGGGGAAATCGAAAACAAGTTTCTCCAGGAGATTTTGAATTACATGGTAAACTTGGCAATATTTTACATTCTCGATTTAGGCCGCCGTGGTTGCCTATCGCCAGGGATACCAAGAGCTTTTGTCTGGTCATCGATAGAAACAGCCAGCTTACAGTAAAGGCTGCTTTTTTATAAGGCTCACAATAGCCTCTACTATGCACTTCAACTCTCACGCTCTGTATTTCAATGAATTTACCAATGTTAAAGCTGTTTCCTCATGATCTAATTTGGTTTGGCTCGGAATGGATGGGGCAAATTGTCAATTTCAGAAGGCCCCTTTGTTCATGGATCATTGTCGAGAAACTTTTGGAAAATACAGAATGCTATATGAAAAAGGATTTTGAAATAAGCAAATTCTACTCGGAATCTTGCGGCATCTTCGTCTGCGAAGATACCAACACGTCGATTCGGGCTTTCATGAAAATCCGGATGCAGTGTGCACACCCCTTCCTATGAAGTTTATGTCAGGCTAATGGAATGTAAAGAACCCCATACTATGAAGCTAGGGATTATCACTCGCATGAGAGGGCTCAACAAGCAGTGGGGAAAATGTGTGGCCGAACTGAATCTGAAGCGGAAGCCCTCGAGACCCTGACTATGAGAACGTGCCCGTCTACTCCTACTCTAATAGCCTGGAAACATGAAATCCAATGCCAAGATGGTTGGGTCCCTGGTAGCTTTGTGGATTATATTGTGATGGAGAGACTCAAAGGGATAACACTTTCCTCGGAAATGATTTATCGCCTAACTGCTGAACGAAAGCAAAGTCTGCGACTAGCATTCAAGGAAGCATACGAGTGAGACACTTGGTATTGTGCGACTTGGTATCTACGACTCACAGCTTTCTCTAGGAATTGCCTGAAATGTGGCGTTGTACACCTGGACAAAGCTGCCCGAAATCTCATTTGGGATGAAGGGAACGCGCGATGGTATGTAACTCACCTATTGATAAGAGTATTCAATCAAGTTTACGATCCATTGTTATTCTTGCAGCTACCTCATTGACTGGGAAACCTGGCGACGGCAAAGGCAAGGTGAGGAGTGGAATGATGGCCAATATCGATTCTGGGGATTGGATTAGTTTGTTCCAGTAACATGAGAATTGATTAGAGTACTGGTCTTTTGCTTGTAAGATCGTTAATCGGTCACCCACGGCACCTTACCTTGTGTAGACCATGTTTAGACGATGCTATGTACTTAAACGAGTTGATCATTAGGGTAACCCCCCGCGGATGGGATCGTCATGCTGCCGCTCAGCACCATATGAGGGCATGTTCTTTTGGTCGGCTGGTTTGCCGTCATAATCTTTGTTTAGGGTTGGAGGTATACATGACAAGTCCATTTCCATAATCACAACCACGTTGACCATTGTTTCCAGTTTCCTGCGTCAGTTGTTGCGTTGCCGTGGTGGTATGGCCCTGGGGGGGTCAGGTTCCGACGACAGCCCAGCGGGGGATGATGGCTGAGACAGGACAGTGCATATCTGTAGACTGTAACAGAAGAACTGGCCAATAGCACCGGCCCGAACATGTTGCCCAAGACTTCACCCCGAACTCTATGTCTATCTTCACTGATAAGGGATGCTGGAACAACAAGTGCTGCCACCTGTGATGACTGCACAGTCGTCAAGGGAAAAGGTATTGATTCAAACTACTGCTTGTCTGACTATCTGGTTAACTAATTTCTTTAGTCCCTGTCTATGGTATCTTCCACTCAGATGCCCTGTTGGACGGTTGAGTTTTACTAGCTTCAATGGCCGATTTTGTTGACATGTCTGATATAGAGGGATTCAGTATATTAGAAAATTGATATTTCACTGTGCATAACTTAACTAAAACTTAACGACGATTTGGCTTATGAAGCGAGGATCTATCTAAATAAGCGATGCTGCTTGGAGAAGCGATATTAGAATCGTAATTCTAAATTTTGTGTGGAGTTGCACAATGCCACCGAAAAGATCTTCTTGATAGTATCATGCATTTGTACGTTGCCATCCTCAATATCGCTGCTATGTCTAGTCGGACTGAGATTCCAATAGATAAATACAGAGAGAGAACTAAGGAATAGTATACGAGATCTGTAACTCTCTAGTTTTTATAATCTTTCTTCCTTTACTCCTGTCATATACCGAAGAAAAATATTAACTGAACAGATATCCAGGACTATTATGTTTGGACAGAGGTCAAGTCCCGGGAGGTTGTAGACTTGTCATCATTTCTTGTTTCTTCATTGCTGGCTAAGTATTTAATTGGACTGCAAACGTGCAACAGGACGGCCGCGAGAGTTGGGTATGTTTAATTTCTTGTCGACCCAACTGCAAATAGTGTAGTAATACTATCCAGTGAGAGTAAAATATTGTAGGCCACTAGTACTGTTATATTACCAATACATTACATCCTGTGGTCGCACTTAGAGCTTGATAGGCGTATCTTGGGTATCGTACGGTAAGTCGACACATGACGTCTTTTATCTTATCTCAATCAACCAACATCAATAACAAACTTGCATCTTCCTTCAACTCCTCTTTGGAACCCCCTTCACCACCAAACCATGGTGATCATTGACAATGATTCTCTAGATCCTCTTGGTAGAATCTCATGTCCTAGCACTTGATGTCTAGCCCCATCTTCCTCAGTCTACAGACATGGAGAGTCTTGAAGAAATCACCCGTCCTTGCGATCCCGCTGAAGGAACCGTTGATGACGGCTCTTCCAGGACCCCGTCAGTTGCTGATCAGAGCTTGGCGAACTCACTAGTGGGTTTAAATATAGGGAGCGCAGATGCATCGTTTAAATCCACGCCCAGCAACAAAGTATCCGAAGAGCAGGCAGACCGGAAATTCCCCGATCAAGAAGACGGCTCGATACCCCCAACCAGAGTGCTCTCGCCTTATGCTCCAGTGCCATACAACCCACCGTCGGCAGCTGCCATAAGCGATGATGGAGGAGATGAGGATGAAGAGCCATGTATCGCAACTTCTTTCGAGAGAGACTCTACCCCAACCTCCCTTCAAAAGCAGCGGTCGATGTTCTTCGATAACGGCGAAGAAGGTATCAATCGGATGCATAAATTCTCTCTGTACGAAACGGCAACACGATTCTATATGGTCGGTATGGACTTGTCGGACACCCGCTTCAGGATTTTGAAAATCGATCGAACGACCGAGACGGGTGATCTGAACGTTGCTGAAGACGATATTGTGTACAGCAAGAGAGAAATGAGTCAATTACTAGATGCTATTGACGATGGCAATAAAATATCTGGTGGCCTAAAGCTGAGGTGCAGTGCATGGGCTATGCTGGGATTCATCAGGTTTACCGGTACATACTATATGCTTCTCGTGACTAAAAGGAGTCAAGTTGCCATGCTCGGTGGCCATTATGTCTACCAAATTGATGGGACCGAATTGATCTCCCTGACCAACCCAAGCACCTCAAAACTCAGACCGGATAAGAACCCTGAAGAGGCTAGATATATCGCTATTCTGAATAACCTTGACTTGACTCGCTCGTTCTATTTCAGCTACTCTTACGATATCACCCACACATTGCAGCGCAATATCTGTCGAGAACGCAGAGCCCACCAAGATGGCTACCCGATGCCTTCTCAGCAAGACTACAACACAATGTTCATATGGAATCATCACCTTCTTGGCCCTGCCATCGAGAATCTGAAGAACCCCTTTGAGTGGTGCCTGCCTATCATCCATGGATATGTTGAACAAGCGAAGATGTCTATATACGGCCGCTTGGTTTACATCACTATTATCGCTCGTCGGTCTCGATTCTTTGCGGGAGCGCGCTTTCTGAAGCGAGGTGCCAACGACCTGGGTTATGTCGCCAATGACGTTGAGACTGAGCAAATCGTGTCTGAAATGACAACCACCTCATTCCACGCCGCCGGCCCCGACCTTTATGCAAATCCTCTCTACACTTCCTATGTCCAGCACCGGGGAAGCATTCCGCTCTACTGGACGCAGGAAAATTCCGGCGTATCTCCGAAGCCCGGTATTGAATTAAACCTGGTCGACCCATTCTACTCTGCCGCAGCGTTACATTTTGATAATTTGTTTGAGAGATACGGGGCCCCGATCTATGTCCTGAACCTGATAAAGTCCAGAGAGCGCACCCCACGAGAGTCAAAGCTTCTTAAGGAATACACCAATGCCATAAACTATCTCAACCAATTCTTGCCGGAAGACAAAAAGCTTATCTACAAGCCCTGGGATATGAGTCGAGCCGCGAAGAGCCGTGATCAGGATGTTATAGGAACACTTGAAGAAATTGCGGGCGAGATTATCCCCAAGACCGGGTTTTTCAAGAATGGGCATGATGCAGAGTCTGGCCTAAGGTTACAAAATGGTGTTGCGAGGACAAACTGTATTGATTGCCTGGATCGCACCAATGCCGCTCAATTTGTGATTGGAAAACGGGCACTTGGCCACCAGCTTCATGCGCTCGGAATTATCGAGGGTACAACGGTGGAATATGACACAGATGCGGTCAATCTGTTTACTGACATGTGGCATGACCACGGTGATACCATTGCAATCCAATATGGAGGTTCGCATCTAGTCAACACAATGGCCACGTACCGAAAGATCAATCAATGGAGCAGCCATTCACGAGATATGGTGGAGAGTTTCAAGAGGTACTATAATAACTCGTTTCTGGATGCGCAGCGACAGGAGGCATACAATCTTTTCCTTGGCAATTATATCTTTTCGCAGGGTCAGCCAATGCTTTGGGATTTATCAACCGACTATTACTTGCACCACGCTAATCCAAAGTCCTGGTCAAATAAGCCACGACCCAACTATATACACTGGTTTACACCTGATAATCTTAAGGAAAAAGAGCTGCCGCCGCCACCATCCCCGCCTAAGGAGTCTCTGTCTCGATACGACGATTACTGGCTCGAATACTACAGGCCATTGGCTGTTTCATCATTCTCGAAGATCTTCTCCTACAAGATGAACTCTACACTTCGGTATCTCCCCTTCCGTCCTTCGTCGGGGACGCTGTACGATCTCAGTCCCTTTGTGGCTCGAATCCCAAATGAGCAGGTCAACAGGGAACGTCAACAGCAGCAGCGGAGCGTCAAGATACAGGAGCCAGACTTTGTCCGAGATCGTCCGGAAAGGACACGTTTTGACAATGTTACACCTGCGCCAAATTGGCATCTCTCTGCCAATACAGGGTCTGGAATCATGAGAGACTCATCATTTGGGGCTTCGCAGCCCAGCAATTACACTCAGCGCTCCACACCTAGCAAAGCGCAAATCTCCCAGTGGACCTTGGGCCAATTGGTGAATGACTCCTTGAACCCCTCGGTCACATCCGCGGAGGCAGAGGAGTATGAACGCTATATCAACCATCCCTTGAAGGTACCTCTTGTCGTAACTTCTAGGGACGAGCTTACAGCCACCTCTGCTCGCGAGCGAGAATCAAACTTGGATTTGATCGAGTATGTCAATAAATGCAACATTGAGGACTCCGCTCTCAAGGCCAACGCGGATCTCAATATGGCAGACTACGCCGAGTTCCTCAATATATCGGACGAAGGACTCACAGTTTCGGCAGAAGATCATGAAATGAAGCGTTACAAGCGCTATCGGCAATGGTTGAGGGGCAAAAGTCTTTTCAAGCAGCGAGTTGACATTTGACAGCTGTATATTTCCGCGCCACGATTCATGAACATAAACTAATGACGCGATACCCATACGCACCATGTCTATATTAGCGTTCGCAAGTCTTAGCTTAGCATGTTAAACCTACCAAATCATTATTTCTAACAACATGATCATACATAAGCAATTCTATAAACAAGAAAGCAACCATCTACACTTCCCCGAAGAAGCTCCCATCATTAGCATCAATCTCCTCCAACAGAAGACCACGTAAACTCTCCTCCGCATCAACCAACTCTTGCAGCTCCTTTTCCAGATTCTCCTTCGCCTCCATCTGATCCTCCCCACCGTCTTCTTGAATAGAATTCCGCAAAGCGAACTTCAGCAAATACGCCACACCCCTCAACTCCTTCTTAATCCTCTCCATACCCGCACCCTCACTCCCAGACAATCCACCCCTCTTACCCCGATCCACAATCTCCCTCTCCTCCTCACAAACATGAAGCCAGCACGCGCACACCGCACCCAATATCTCTCCCCGCCACATCCACACCCGCGGATGCGCATTCAAAACCACCACCCTCGCAACCTCCACGCCACCCAAAAGCAAGGGCGGATACGCCGTTCCAAACGGATTCGCCAGCGTATCATGCACCAGCGGCACAATCTCCCGCAGGAACTTCGTCGTATGGATCCCCAGCTCTCCCAGGACAGTCACCACCTGCTCCAGAAGCAGCGTCGAGAGACGCGGATACGGGAATGATGCGAGGTCCGGTGATAGCGAGGTTGGGCTCGTAGAGCTGATGTGGTGGAATGAGGGGATGAGGTTTTCGCGGAGGGTGGTTGTGAGACGGGATATGTAGGTTGCGAGTTTGTTGGATTGTGTTTGGGTTTGTGAGGAGGGGGTGTTGGTGTAGGTTGTTTTTTGGAGGGTGAGCAGGGCTGGGTAGGCTTCTTTTAGGAGGCTAATGGATTCGGGTTCCGGGGTTATGGTGGGGAGGGAGAGGAGGCAGGGTTTTAGGGCGTCTTCGAAGACGGAGGTTAGGTTTGTGCGGTGCAGGATTGGGGATTGGGTTTCTTGGATGGGGGTTAGGAGTTTTCTGAGCAGGTTGCAGCCTTGTGTTTTGATGGCGGTTGTGTCGTCGTCGATTAGGGCTAGGATTGGGGGGACGAGCAGGGGGAAGTGGGCTTCGAGATTGATTTGGTTGGTGGGCTGGGCGTGGCTGTTAGTGCTGTGGTTATGTTGGGGAAGAGGGGGAAGGCGTACTTTGTATTGCTGGATTATCCAGGAGAGGACGGTTGTGGCGTAGATGTCCTGGATTTTCCATGGCTTGGTTTCTGGGTCTAGGATGCTGGCGTCGAATCGGGGTAGTGGGACGGGGTGGAAGTTCTTGCGTCCTGCAGAGGTAATGGCTGGGTTTCTGGTCTTTGCGAAGAGTGGCCGGATTCTGTCCTTGAGGATTCTTTCAATCACGGACCAGAATTTAGTGTTCATTTCTGGGTTTGTAGCAGTTGCTGAAGCGAAAGCATCCAGTAGGGTAGTGGCACATGTGAATGCTTCTTGCGTTGTCCACGCATCTTCTGTGGAGGAGAAGCTGGCTAATGCAATGACAACATCTGCCGCACTCTCGGCTTTGGATATTGGGAGTGATTCAGCCAATAAGGAAAGCACCGCCAGGGCGATCCTTGACCTTAGTTGATCTTCCAAGATAGCATCTTTCTGTTCTGCTATGGCAGTTAGAACAGCTATTCGTCAGGTCAAGCCGGGTCTTGACTCACCATCCGATGGTTCTTCTGTCTGAGCATAAACTGGGGACGGAAGCGCAGCATCGCTTGCCCAGGCATATATCTTATTTGTAGCAACCTGGTCAGCACCGGACAGGTCTTTCGGACCCCGGGCTTTTAAGAAGTTATATGCGACAAGGAGACTTTCGCATATCTAAGGCGTCATTAGTATATGCCTATGGTCAACATGATCCAGGCCGATATTTGCTTACGTCCAAATTACTTGTATTCCCTTGCGATGACACATCCTGCCATAACAGATCTAATTCTTCAGGAAGTGCAATATTCTCTGCATGCGCTTCTGGGAAAGTGGAAGTCGAATGCCGCTGTGACAGTGCCTCGTGGCACGCTTTCCTAAGTTCTTCCATTACCATTAATTACTAGCCGATGTTCACACACAGTTTGTCCTCCCGGTGTAAAATTAAAAAGGGATAAAGAGGAAAACAAAGAAATGCAAAGGATATCATATGTAAATGAGCATTTGGTATTGGTTTACATAATGCGTGTGAATTGGAGATTCAAGGCAGGCGGTGGGCAATGGCAGTAACTAACACTTACACGTGACTGGACAGAGTATGTCGTCATTGTTGTCTCTCGTTATCACTCTTCATATTGTGGAAGAAGACTCCATAAAACAAGCTATTCAGTGGTTAAAGTCACGACCAACAGATTAGGCATATTTAACTGTGGAATATAACACATCCAAGGTATAAAGCCTCATTAACATTCAATTAACATCATTTCACCTTGCTATCAAAAAGCTCCAATTCTCAGATCTCCATCTGGTCGTGGTTTCAGCCTATCTTAGCTGGCGCTCCACGCACTGGTAGACCAGCCGCTTGATACAAAGCATCAATGCATTCCATCTGTCAAATGCTATCCTCACCGGTGATCCAGTATGCGGGTGTTTTGCCTTTGACGACATCGACGAACGCCTCCAGCTGCCATCGGTAAGTACTCCAATGCGAACTGCCACCTTTTCCACCGGTCGTCATAACGTTGGCCCACAAAGGACCTCCTTTGTATTGTTTGTGGTACCGCGTCTGCCCCGTTGTCTTGTCGGTGACGGCGATGTAGTGATACAGATGTGGCATCAACGCATTGTAGAAGAAGATGATGGCCCGCTCAGTCTCCACTTCGATTGAAGGCAACTCCCAGAAACGTGGGACAACGCCGGCAATCCACTGTCTTTCCATGTCGGTGTAGATCTGGCTATGGACCTCAGTATCCTGGGGTCCGACAAAAGTCAGATAGGCATACATGGCCGCGTCGACTCGTGGATCATCGCTGGAGACACGGGCAGTGACTGAGTTGATGGTTTTAGGGTGCCGTGCGCGGAGAGCGTAACGAGTAAATGATAGGGCATACGTCATGTCCATCGCGGAGCCACCTAACAATGTCAGAGCAAGCAATAGTAGATTCACTGTTCAGAGTTAAAGCACTCACCACCTAGATCATACTGCCATCGGATATCTCCCTTTGGTACACCGGGACTAGCAGTCATCACAGCCTTCGTCCGCAAGATTCTGCCATGCTGGCCGGACTCTAAAATCTGCCGCCATGCATGTGCTGCAGGGTGGAATTGCCAGTGGAACTACACGTGCGTCAGCTTACGTATTGCTTCCTGATTGAGGTATCAGCATAGACATACAGCTTCTTCAAGAGTCAATCCTTTCTCTTTGGCTAAGCTCACTAGGCCCTTTGCTTCATCTGCGTTCGATGTGAACGGCTTCTCGCATAGCACATGCTTTCCAGCCTGCAAGGCCTTGGAAGTCCATTCATAATGCTGGCCGTTGGGGGTGGACACGTATACAATATCCACAGCAGGGTCATCCAAGAGGTCCTGGTACGACCCGTAGGATTTGGTGATGTTGTACTGTTTTGCTGCCTGAGCGGCAGTCGCAGCATTGCGAGACGCAATAGCGTATAAGATTACATCCGGGTGTGTTTCCACGGGATGGATAACTGATGCATCGTCATCAGCCATAATGATCTGTAGAAAAGCAGGGGCTACATACCAGCAACGGCGTTGATCTGCGCTGATGATAGAATCCCTAGCTTCAGCGGTTGGGGGGATTTACGGGGCTTTGAAAGAAGAAATGAAGAGAGATACTGATGGATGAAGGTTGCGCTTTGGGCGACAAGAGCCATACTTGAAATTAGTATTTTCACAAGACACTGCTAAGTACTCCGGAATACTGTGTAGATAGAGGCTGATTGCAAGACTATTATATTAGTTTACTGGTGTGATTTCGTAGGCTATAGATAAACAGAAACCGCAGCACAGCAGTGGTCGACCGAAGACATTCGCTATGAATTGCATATTGGCAGCCTTATCAGGTGTACTCCTTTACTACTTTTCCTATCATATGATGTGGAGCAGTACCTCAAAATGACGTTGGCGAGGACGAAAATCCCATGAATTCCATTGTGACGTCGAGCTTCGGCTAAGGATGATGTCACTTGGATCATCTATTAAAGGGCACCATTTCCCGGAAACAGTAAATCAACAACACTCACTATCTACTCAAAGATGCCCGCCAAAGTAACCATCGACACGTCCCTGAAGGACGAAAAACATGCCATATCCAACGGCGAAAGTCCCAGCATCACCGTGGTCGCTAAAGAAGCACCGATTACCGTGAAACGGATACCCGCGACTCACATCAACGCAGCCATAGATAATCCCGGCGTCGCGCGCGCAGATATCGCAGTATCGATTGACAAACCCTCCGGCGATCAAGAATGGGCCAGTAAGGTGCGGGGATACGTACGTTCCCACAATGGCAACCGTGGCGTCCAACGACACGACTTACATATAACTGACATACACATGGATAGACCCCTCTCCAGCAACACGTCCTCTTCTGGGACTGTGACGGCGACGGGATGATCTTCCCATGGGACACCTATATCGGATTCCGGGAATTGGGTTTCAATATCCTCTTTTCACTCCTGGCGATGTTGATCATCAACATTAACTTTTCCTACCCGACTCGACTGGCATACAGTTGGCTCCCGGATCCGTGGTTTCGAGTCTACGTGCAGAGCGTGCACAAAGCGAAGGTATGTCCTTTTTCTGTTGGATCATGGTAATTGGACTAACTGGTGCGCTCCAGCATGGTTCGGACAGTGGTACCTATGACCCGGAAGGCCGCTTCATCCCGCAGCTTTTTGAGAACCTGTTTGCGAAATGGGACTCGGATAATGATGGCGCGTTGACGTTGCGTGAGCTGTTCCAGCTGATGCATGGCCACCGCTGCGCTGCTGATCCGTTCGGAGTAAGTGGCCATCGTTCTGTCGTTGGCATAAGTAGGTTATGCTAATCGCAAATCTGGTGCAGTGGGGTGCAGCTTTGTTCGAATGGGGAACTACGTGGCTTCTCATACAGAAGGATGGTAAGGTTTACAAGGAGGATTTGCGTGCTGTGTATGATGTAGGTGACCGTTCTTCATATTTTTTTACGGGTCTTTGAATGAAGTGGACTAATCTGGATTAGGGCTCTATATTCTGGAAGATTCGCGAGGCTCGGAAGACCAGCCCAGGCTGGACGCAAGGATTTGGACTCGGTGGAGATGGCTTTGTAGGAGGCGAAAAGATATATTCATAACGAGACGGCTGATATACAGTAAGTTGCGAGGGCTGAGACTTGAACGACGAGTGTAGAGAAGAGGAATAAAAGTGTACTATATACAAGTCCATGTATAGACATAGAGCTTGAACATTATGCCACTCTACTTGAAATGTATATTCAGTCAACATCTTACTCATAGGAATTAGTAGTTTCCAGCAGCGCTAAAATTCATACTTACACCATATATTATTTCGGTCATTCATTTTCAAGGCGACATCCAACCCGCTGTCACAAGGCAATGGACCATTTCTCATAATCCGCACACATATATTCCATAGACACAACAAATTCAACAAAGCATTAGACAATACTTTCCTTTAGAATATCCAGGTACATACACGGCTACCTAGAACCGTATCTCTCCAGCACCTAAAGTTGCTTCCTTCACTACAATTTCATTGCGAGATAATACATTCACTCGGTAGACGGGTTAGGCATGGTAGAAGTCTCAGGCCATTTGCGGAAAAGATCCGCCAGATGGTCAATGGGCGCTGCAAGAAGGCCCACAGCCGTCTCATACGGCGGCTTACTCGGAGCACTCGGGTGAGAGCGAGAAGGCACAAACATCTTGGTTCGACCAAACGACTCAGAAAGCTTCTCGCTTTCTTCCGAGGACAGGCCCTCCTCCAAGGCGGGCAGATCCGTTGCTTCCTCTTCCTTGATATGAGACGCGAGGTCCTCCATGAGGGCCTTGAGAGTCGGAATAAATTCTGCATCTGAAGCATTGAGATTCTGGAACTTTTTCAATTGTTCCTTGACCTGACCTGTTGTAAGCTTCATTGCCTGGGTGGGATTTATGTCGTATTACTCACGCTCTGGTGCTCCCTGCGATCCTTCTCGGCCAGAGCTTTACCATTGGCGACATTCTTTTCCATGGCGGGATAAATCACGAGCTCTTCGCCGATGGAATGACGAGCTAATTCCCAGGTGAATAGGTTCTGATACCTCGTCTGCTCATCCTGATCAGTTGATTGGATGATCTGATCATAGTATTGTTCGAGTTCACGGTGATCCTCTTTGATTGCATCGCTAACACGGGGCGCCATTTTCGATTGTTGCTCGAGAGTTTGTATGTCACTAAATATAGAGCACGGGTGAATTGACTTGATTGCTAGTACTTGTATGGGTAATAGCCATACTGCCAGAGCAGGTCTTTAGACCCTTATATCCTGCCCTTCCGCTAGCAATCCAACGGTCAGACGCACGCCTCATAATGAGATGTCATGGCGACGTTACAAATGCATGTAATTGGGCCATTCAATATTTACCCCAGAAGCCACCATTACAGGTGTATGAGCCGTAGTCTCGTCATTCTCTGCTTAGGTCACACAACTCACCCCAGGCCTCAATAGTCCCGTACTTCTGCTTCAATAGCTACAGGGTTCGAGGATCACGAGGACAGTCGCGTCCAATAATAAGCATGTGTTTGTCCTACAACTTTTTATGGCCCAGTAGCCAGTCGTTTTGCCTTGATTTCTAATAACCGGTCCCTGTCATGAATCTTCTGCAGGCTCTTTGGGGGTCTTTTAGGGTTCGATACGGACCATAGATCGTGTCGGAACAATGACCGCCAAGTGATGTAGGAGGAACATTAACCAAAAGATAGACGTGGGTGATGAAAGAGGTAAAAAGAATGTGTGACGTAGAGTGCCGCTTTACATCGCTAGTTAGTAGGCCTTTAAAGGCATTCCTGAGGAAAGCTGAGAAGAACTGCAGATTACAAAAATACTAGACACTAGAGGCTTCAAAGGGTAAGCTATTTCAATGCTTCAGAGCCCAGAGAGTGAATGCTCAAATAACATGCCATTAGAGTATTACTTCCCATGAAAGTAAAGTTGTTTGTGTGAGCATCACCATTTGGGATAGGGTCTTATTCGGATCGGCACCCATCAACTGGCAGCATATTTTGGATGAGTATCAACGCTCCTATTCATAATAATATATCATATGTTGTCACTGAGAAATTGTTTTACAGAGGAAATAATCGAGACAGTAATCACAGATTCCGCATACTAATTCCCCTTTAGCAAAATAGCTTTTCCATGTTACGGTACTCTCCAGCTATGTGCCGATAGGACCTTAGTCGGATTACTTCGCGAGATTATCTCCAGTCAAGTATCGGTGCTACCACATGAGGATAACATCCCCTACAGCATTGGCATAAGCCTCTCGCGCGTCCTGAGCCTTAAGGCAATCGGACATCTTCCGTATTCCTGAATCCTGATGCGGATCTCCTCCCACCACTAAGATCTCTACCATCTGCTGGCCACTGCCTAGTCCTATATAGGACCGCCATTATATCCTGTGTCGCACAGCACCCCGCGCCACTTTCTAGCCATTGGCGCAAGGAAGCCTGTTCCTAGAAAAATACTCGTAGCCAAGGATTGCTTTATCTTGGCTGTTGTTTTGCCAGAGTCCTCATTATCATCATGACGTCATGTGTATACGCATCCTTCATTCACCACCAAAAGACGCATCTTCACCGTAATTCAGGGATATCATGCTGGTCCTCTTATAGTAGTGCTACTGCAGACATAGTATTCTGGTCTAGAAAATAGCAAGCATTTGAACATGAGCTTTAGCGGTTATATACACTCCAAACAATCAGCACTAGCTTCCTGTTCTACACTCAACATGGCGACGAAGAATGAGAAGAAGCGCGGGTTGATTATCGTATCGAACCGTCTTCCACTGTCGGTCAAGGAAGAAAACGGCACATACAAGTCCAGCCTATCCAGCGGTGGCCTTGTAACAGCCCTGTCGGGTCTGACAAAGTCAACGAACTTCCGCTGGTTCGGCTGGCCTGGAAAGGCTATCGAGGACCCAGAGGAGCAGAAAAAGGTCTCGGACGCCCTGGAAGAGAATAGCGCGGTGGGAATTTTCTTGAACGAGCAATTGGCGCACGACCATTACAACAAGTTCTCGAGTATGCACCTCTCCTCCATACCATATCTATCGCCCACTCACCCTCTCACACTAACCACCCATAGACTCTGTCCTCTGGCCCATCCTCCACTACCAATCTGGGGTCGCCTTTAATGAAGACGCGTGGGAGGCATATCAACGTGTGAATGAGATTTTTGCTGATACCGTCGCCAAAGAAGCGGCTACCGGGGATCTCATCTGGATTCATGATTACCATCTATTGCTCCTGCCCTCTCTCTTGCGTGAGCGACTGAAGAAGCAGGGGAAGAACTGCCCGATTGGATTTACATTGCATACGCCGTTTCCGGCGGAGGACTTTTGGCGGGCGATTCCTGTGCAGAAGGACTTACTCAAGGGCCTGCTTGCTTGCGACGTGATTGGCTTCCACACGGATGAGTATAGGCGGAACTTTACTGAGAGTTGTGCACGTAGTTTGTGAGTCTATATACTTACTCTTTTTTTTTTTTTTTGTTCTGTCGGAATCTTCTGGTGGTGCATGCACTAATAATGTTACAGGGGTGCCAATTCTGAAAAAGAAGGTCAGCTTGAGTATGAAGGACACACTGCCTGCGTTGGCACGTTTGTGGTCGGGATAGACCCCCAGAAGTTCAACGACTCCATGCAGGATCCAGACGTCCAAAAGCGTATCAAAGAGCTGGAAAAGCGGTATGAAGATAAAACCGTCATTGTCGGTGTAGATCGGTTGGATTACACCAAAGGTCTAGTCCAGAAGCTCGAGGGGTGGGACCATTTCCTGAAGACCTATCCCGAGCTGGAGGGAAAGGTCACCCTGATCCAAGTAGCTATACCCAGCCGTGAGGATGTAAAGGAATATCAGGAGCTTGAGAAGGAGATTTGCACGCTTGTCGGCAAGATAAATGGGGAACATGGTATGTAGCTCACCTCTTCGCTCTCAACCTTTGTGCTAATACCGTTAGCTACGCCTGATGGGACACCGCTCATTTACATGCACCGGTCTGTTTCTTTTACTGAACTGACGGCCTTGTACTGCATTTCTGATATATGTCTTCTCACCTCCCGAAGGGACGGCATGAACCTGGTTGCATCGGAATATGTGGCTTGTCAAGAGAATAAACATGGCGTTCTTGTGCTCTCTGAACTTGCAGGCGCTGCATCCTTCATGTCTGAGGGCAGCGTTACCTTCCATCCTTCCAGCGTTCAGGAGCTGTCAGATGCTGTCCATCAAGCAATCACCATGGACGAGAAGGAGAGGAAGGAGCGATATAAGAATCTACAAGGCTTTATTACAACCCACACAAGGTAAGTTAGGATCTCATCCTTTTTATCCTTTGCTGAGCTAACTAATGTTTCTGTGAATAGTGCTAAGTGGGGAGAGGCCTTTATTCAAGCTCTATCTCGTCATGTCGAGGAGTAGGAGCTCTCGTTGTCTGTCTTCCAATCTCGTTTATTCTAACTCGTTCACGGGGTTCTTTTTTCTTCTTTTTCGTTTTCTCTTTTCTTATTTAAAGCGGCTTTATCTTCTATTTTCATATGATGCATGTCTTGTTTTTTGAGCCTGGCGAGAGTGGCGAAGTGTCATAATGTAGTAGATATCAACTTGATGGAGCTCTATCGAGAGACTTCTTTTTTTTCCCTTTTTTCCTCGTTTATCTGTTCACGCAGTTGAATGGGATATAATACTTTAGGGCATGATAATATATGTATATGCCTACAAACAGAGCCTTTCCAGTGAAAGTGTTCCATTCAGAGACGCTGTCTACCTGTTCTATCTTCCAAGCATGATATCTATTCGACTCTCCGGTCCAAAGAACTATAAATCCAAAGTCAAGAGGCACCACTAATAAAAACCGCAATGCAAGTAGCATTATCACTACCCGGTACATCCGCAGCCTCGTCCACAATATATTTCGCAGACTCTGTTGCATTCAACCCAGACTGGTAGCACGTTAATAACCCGTGCACAATAATCTCATCGTCAAGCCCATTAGTCACCCCATCTGAGGTTAAGATTAAAACGTGTTGATTCCCGTCATTCAGGTCGACTCGTGTTAGGTACGGTTCATTCGACAGAAGACTCCGTTGCTCTGTTGACGACGTGATATCAGCCCGTATCTGCGCTTCATTGAGAGGGCCCATCCCCGAGTTAATCAGAGGTTCCTTATACTGGAGATCACCCAGCGCCCGGGACATGTTCAGGGCACCTGTATTTATCCCCGTGTCAGTGGGAATCATGATCCTAATCTTCTTTCGTCGCACACAGGAACACTCACCTAGCCTTTCCGTCCCACTGTCGGTGTTGACCACACCACCGGCATTTATGATTCGGTTCTTCTCGTCAGAATCGCCCGGCTTATGTGCCTTCGTTATCCGACGCTGTATCACAGTTAGATCCCGTCCTTCCGAATATATCTATTCGCGCATCACATACGATGTTAGTAGCCCCCTCGCTCGCACCAGTATAATCCGCCATTAGAATATGCGAATCACCCAAATTCCCCACGACCAGAAAACCCTGGGTCAAATTGACCAAGGCCAACGCAGCAGTCGACCCGGACGTCGCGAATTTCTCCTCGCCGTCGCAGAATCCTGTCAGTAGCTCCGCTTCCTCTTTCTTGATCGCTTCTTTGATGGCCTCTTCGTACCGACCGCATTTAAACTGCGGGCTTTCTTGTAGGAGGCGCTGGATGGTTTCATTAGCGTGTTTGGAGACTTTACTGGAGCCACTGTGGTTTTGGTTAGTTGGCTCATATCGAAGAAAGGTAAAGGGGGTGGTATGTACTGTCCGTCGTAAACTGCGAAGAAGGCGATCTTGTCGTCGCCTGGGTTCGTGGAGAAGTTCTCGGGGAGGAGGAATGTGTATTGGTCTTGTTGCGTTGGTCGGGAACCTATCGTCTATTGGGGTGTGAGTGTTGTGTTTCTTGGAGTTGGGAGATATGTGAGCGAACACTTGCGGCCCCTGCTTCCTCGATCGTTATTGTGCTTGGGATTGTAGTGGTTGTGGTGCTCATGTTGCAAGTCCGTTCTTCACGGGAAGTATTTTTGTGAGTGATTGTGTTGTGTATTATGTCTATGTTTATGTCTATGTCTATGTCTATTTATGTGGTCTTATAGGTTCGTTGTCAGGGATACTCATGGATTGACGTTGGTCTATGGATGGATGTTGATGCCGAATCGTGTGGATTTCATCTTACGTCAACGGCCAGCCACGCTTCGCTGTATGACGCTATTTTGCATGGTCTCGCTCCACTTTTACTTTCTTAGGAAACCCTGTTGCTTAATTGTGCAACTAGGGAGAATATATCCGGCAGATTGCAACTTTGGCAGCTGTTGCATACTCTGTTGACTTCTATACGGTTTCTCGCTTCATGGCGTTTAGGTTATATTGTATTAGGTTGGCTCCGTCACTTCGAGCGTATGTCCAGCTCTTCCTTTCGGCTTGACACTTCTTCCAACGCCTTTGCCTTATCTGTGATCTCCGGGTGTAGCAGCTGCCACCGAATCACCATGTCCAAGGCCTTACTCATCCAAGGTCCTTTCGGAGCTGCAAGGTGCTGGGCAACCTCAACCCCGTTTACGATGGGTTTCATATCGTAGACGTTCTCCAGGTTGTGTTCTACGAGGTATGAGAGAAACTTGTTGTACTCTTGGATCACTACCAAGCACATATGAGTTAGCATCATCGGAAAGCGAAGGACAAAGGGGGAAGTATCTCACCTTTGTTGAACTCGCCTCCCTGCGCGACTTCTTGCAAGATCGCCAAGGTACAGCAAAGTCTCCAGTCCTTGTTCCATGTACGGATGTATAATCCAATTTGCTGTCGAATCTCTGCCGCGGTGCCACTCATGCGCTCCTCCAGAAGGGAGGATTTCACGCCCACGATAGAGCGCCAATGACAAGCCGCATCACGGAGTAGGTTGATCGTTTTGTTATCAGCGCGAAGGCTATCCTTAGCGACTTCCGCCGCGCGGGGAGGAAGTGGCTTTGCTTTGGGTCCTTGCGCCACGCGATCTGGCACCGTTGACCAGGGTGCGAATGCAGCGATCACCCAAGCATAATAAGCTTCTTGGGCGTCGCGAATAAGTAGGTCGCGCACACGTGCGATAGGTATCGAAGTGTCCTCGGAGTGTAATAACTCCTGCAGAGCATTGTAGGCCAGAGCCCAGGAAGATGTATCCACGCCGACATCATCTTGGTGGTTTGCAAAAATCGTCTGGTATAGTTCAAGGCGGTCAATAAATTGTAGAGCACCTCGGGGATCCGGTCCTATATGTTGTGAGTGGGTAGAGCATGGCCGCAGATAGAGGCTCTATTACCTTTGAGCATCTTCGTCATTTCGGTCCCCACGCGCTCTCTACTGATCTTCAGTTTGAGTGCTTCACTGATATCCTTGTTTTTCATGGCGTTCTCCGTGTCTTCATCAATGCGATATCCTAATCGGCTGGCAAACCGAATGAGTCGCAGTACACGTAGCGGGTCATCCTTAAATGTTTGATACGGCTCCATTGGTGTGCGGATTACTTGATCTCTCATATCTTCAAAGCCCCTTCGAGTAAAATCCTCTACTTTGGACTCGTTCAAATTATAAAAGAGGGCATTGATGGTTGCATCCCGGCGCATCGCGTCCTCCTCGGCCGTGCCAAACTCCATTTGGGGATTGCGACTATCATCCGAGTAGGTTTCCTTCCGTAGGTTGACCAAATCGATATCTAGCCCAAAGATCTTGGTAGTGACCGTTTCCAGGTGCTTTGACTTCTCTGGGTTAGCCTCAATTTTATGGAGACTGACGATAGCGTCCTTGAGTTCGCCATTGTTGTGGTTCTTCTTATACTTCTGCAGGTTTTCTGGGATATCTAAGTAGTCTTTAAGCAGAAGACCGAATTGGTAGCCTGTCATGTTGTTTATGCCCACATCGATATCATGGCTATCAATGCCGAGCAGCTTGTCCCGCACCCAACCTCCTGTGAAACGCAGTACCGTGCGGGGGGTGTCTGCCGCATTGCCTCCTTCTGCAATCGTTCGTTCTCGTATATAGTCTGCGACATCTAGAAGAAGGGATTTCAAGGTGTTCTCGAGGGGCGTGAGCTGAATTATGGGAAGCGGCTGGTCGGATATCGCGGCCATTTCGTCCGAAAGGTTCTTGCGCAAGATGGGGGAACAAATGCGTCTTCTTTTGGTAGCTCTCTCGGGAGAAGGGTTTCTAGATATCTCGTGGTTCATGGAATAATTGCACACAGTTGAGCGCCAGCGACAGATCGGTGGGTTTGATCTTAGTGGGGTGCTTCTGGTACTAGGCGGAATTCTTGTAGAATGAGTGGAAACATAGACAGTTCGCAGAAATTGTTGGGTGGGGCTGAACTGATATATCTCAGGAAGGATGCGTAAAAAAGTGGGTTTGAACATGGATCGTTTCCATGACAGGAGGAAGTTACAGTATGACTCTATGGAGTTTGTTGTCGGTGCCCGCATTGATGACTCGAGTCATTCTGCCCGTCTTTTTTTATACTTTGCGATCAGGTAGCTGGGACCACCGCCTTCCGCCTTGTCGGCATTGAGATCATTTGGTCCTGGTCAATCACTGAAAAGAGAGTTAATGGAACCTGAATGAAATTTATTCCCCTTGCAGCTTTTTGAGTTTTCACTATAATTCCCTATGGGTCTCTTTGTCTCGAGAGAAATATATTTTCCGTTGCTTTAAGTCTACCTCGACCACCTGAAACCTCCATTTATTTAGTAAATTAATTATTGCATCACGTTGCGTTGTTGTTTCTGCCGCGGTGACTTGGCTTCCATTTAATCCCGTCAACAACAACATCCCTCCCCTGACCCTCGATCTCCGTCTTCCACCTTCTTCCTTCTCTTTACACCCACGTGGTACTCGAATACCGACCGCTCCTGCGTGCATCCCCCACCTCCCTTTTAATCTTTCTAGCTTCGGTCCATGGGCTCTAAAGTCCCTTTGATTTCTACCAGTCCCGCTTCGCCATCCACTCGGAGTCCATGACATCGCCCGGAGATGCTGCTCCGGTCAGACCTCCGCCGTCCTTCTCGCCCGGCGTTCCGCGAGTCGCATCCAAGACGAGATACCCAGATCAGCGCCGCGACTCTTCTCCAAATCTAGATTCGGACCTAGTAGACTCCAGAATTGCCACCTCTCCCCCGCAACCCCCTCTTTCGGCCAACAATGCGGAGCTGCCGATTAGATCCGCATCGCCCCATGCTCGATCTATACGATCGTCAACGCCGCAATTGGCCCGATCGTCACTAGGTTCTCCGACGGAAGGACGACTGGATGGTTCTGAAGACATACGCTCTTTGATTATACGCTCATTCTCCCCTGTAGTCGGGGTTTACGCATCGGTCGATACTGATGAACTAGTCCGGCAAAAAGGCTTCGCGGGCGGCTTTTGGGAGCTGATTCGCCCGTTTGGAGAAACAGTTCCTGGGAAGATTGTGGTACGCGATAGTGTAGGGGCAAGTCGTGGTTGGGAAGATTATGGAGTCCGGTTTGTCGACTTAGGGGGCAACTCACAAGTTTCGTCTGAACCGAGAACGCCACCTCTGACACAATTAGACGAAGCGCTACAGAGGCAATTGGAATCGCCAGATGATCCACTGGGAGGCATACTACGGCCAAAAGACTTTCTCAATTTCCCGACAACATCCCCATTATATAAATCATTTCTACGGCAGCTGCTATCAGTCTCTTCACCAACTCCGCATGAGACTTTCCGCCACCCCGTGGCAAGCGTTATCGTCATTAGCTCACGAAATACATCTCCCCTTGAGACTTTACGACGGCTATATGCGGATACCAGCAATGGAGATAGGAAGCTACCGGAGTGGGTTCATCCCGAGTACCTCCGATACTATGTCCTGGTTCATGATGAGGATCGTGATGACATCACGGAATCAACGAAGCTGTACGACCAAATGAAACGTCACTTTGGCCTGCATTGTCATCTCCTGAGACTACGCAGCAACCAATGTGTTGTGACCGATGACGACAGCTGTCAGGTGCCCGAAACCGAATGGCTTTCGCCTGCAGAGCGTCTGTCGGGTCGATCAGGTAGGTTTTAAAAGTTCTTCAGAGAAGAGACTGGTTTCATGTACTAGACCTAACAGCGAATAGAGCCCCTAGTAGACCTAGATACAGATGGTCTACCGTATCTTTTCGAGTCCGATGTCACCGCCATCAAAGCCTTCGTCCGGGAGTTGGTCGCTCAGTCCGTGATACCGTATATGGAGAACCGAGTAACTGTTTGGAATGATCAGGTAGCATCACGAAGGCGTGGCATCAGTGGCCGTTTCATGTCAATGTCTCGACGGTGGGCAGGTTTCGGGTCTGGTTCTCGGTCTAGCCTTATCGGCTCTGGTGGTGGAACCAGTGGAAACTACGACCTTGCTCATGGCTTCTACAAACCGGATGTGCCCGAGGCCATTCTCCGAAAGATGGCGGACTTTGCCTTCATGCTGCGTGACTGGAAGTTGTCAGCGTCCACCTACGAACTCCTCCGGTCAGACTATGCGAATGACAAAGCGTGGAAGTATCATGCTGGTGTCCATGAAATGTGTGCTGTGAGCATGCTTTTGAACCCTCTTTCCATGCCTGGAAAATCCAAAATCAATGATATCGATCAGATGATTGAAACTGCCTGCTATTCCTACCTCACAAGATGCTCAGATGCTCCTCATGCCTTGCGTTGTCTCTCCTTATCCATGGAATTGCTGAAGTCTCGTGGAGGGTCTGGAATCGAAAGTGCGGCTAGATGGGCCATGCGGGTCATGGACCTAGGTTTAGTTGGCTCTATCGGTCAGGCACTCTTCAGCGAAAGAATTTCAGCTTGCTATGCCTCCCGAAATGCAATCACCGGGGTCAGATTTGGCTCTCGGCACCGGAAAGCTGGCATGTGGAGTGTTCTCGCTGCGGACCTATGGCTCAGACTAGGGAAGCCATCACTGGCCTCTGCATCTCTCGAAGAGGCCGAACGCCTCTATGCGGATGTTCTGGACAGAAACGGCGCATTTCCCATACCAGAAATGCAAGCCTTCGTTGATAACTTGAGACATGCAGTGAAGGTTGAATATCTCGAGTCTAGAGGCTTAGATACCGGAGACGAGGCGGCGACGGCCGATCCTCTAGACGCTTTCGAGCCTGAGGAGACGAGCGAAAAGCTAGACAAGCGGAAGAATCGGAAATCGCTGATCGCTAACCCGATGGACTCTGGCGGTCTTGGCCCTACGCAAGGAGCGAGAGATGATGATAATCCTGCAAATGACGATTTTGAACGAGCTTAAGGATGGAATGGCTAATATATGGGCGTACAAAGAAAGGGCATTTGATAGACACATGACCAATCTAATTATTTTTATGTCTGAGAGTCTTCTTTATTAAATGCCCGAGACGAGAGTGTATGTAACCATGAAGAAGCAAAGAGCGTCGATCTCAGGCACCACAGCTCATACGCCGTAGTGATGATGTCAGTTCATTCATGCAAACTGACCCGTTATATAAGCTGCTTTCCAGCCGCTAAAGTCAATGTCAAAATTAGAGGAATTTATACATTTCTCGACTTTCATTCCATACTTCCCAATCTATTCGATTTACACACGTCATGGGCAGAACTTCTGCTTGGATATAAGCTCGTCACATGAAGGGCTAGACGTAGCTATACTAATCAGGTATAGTCACGTCACGTGCATTGATCTTATCGCATATCAATGATCACTACAGTAACAAACAACTACAACAGTTTGTGAACAACCCACCTGCGCCAGAGGAGCAGTCTGGCTCGCCAGCTTACAGAAACCAGAGCCTTATCTCCTCTTCATCTTAATTATATACCAAAGACTCCAATACCACCATAAACCAATATTTACAAACCCCAGCCATTCTCGACATGAACGACCTTCTCAACTTCATCCTATCACAGGATGCATTCCGGAAGTATGACAACTCACGCCTCCCAGCCCTTCCAATCTACGACGACCCAACACTAATGGAATCTGCTACCCAGAAACCGGCTCCCATCCCTCTACTCCGACTTCGCCATACACCGCAAAACCAACCCCGACGGCTACGCCGTCAACGTAGCAGCATGGGAACAAGCGCTAACCAAAGCCGCAAAGCATGGCTACATCTCCTCCTCGCACGGCCAGCCCTCGACACTGTCTAAAGGGGCGAAGTGGAAAAGTGACCATCTCGTTCTCCGCGCAGATAAGTCGCTGTTACGGGATCTGGAGATCCCGGAATGGGGACAGCCGGTGGCGCTGGGGGCTGTTTTGGTATGTCTTTCTTTCTTTCTTTTTCTTCTGGGGACGATGCGGGTGTGCTAATGTGTGTTTTGGGGGGTTTTAGGAGGAGGCGATGCAGAACCGGACGATTGTACCGTTGCAGGTGTATAGGGTTAATCCTGCCATTTTGCAGAAGCCGCAGTGGCGGCTTATTAACCCCGGGGTTCTGAATCCGTGGAATGTGATGAGCTGGGGGTTGAAGCAGTTAAAGGGTGTTGTTGTCGGGACGGATGAGTCTTCGCCTGGTTTACAGGGTCAGGAGTGGATTTTGGTGGAGAATCTTAAGGTATGTGTTTTTCTGGTTAGGGGGTGTGGGTTAAGGTGCTAACTGTGAAACAGGAGGCTGCGGGAGGGATAGTCAAGCAGGTCATGGGACAGAGTCCGTCGAATGCCGACCTCATTTATTCTAAGGAGAGCTTTGTGAACGAATTCGGAACTATCCTAAATCATGACAGCGAGCTATCAGAAGCGGACTTTGATGTTCTATTGTTATATTTATCCCGCGACAGCGGGGCCATCGCATATGATGGCAAGGTATGTATACTGGCCTCTATATGCGCTTTCACACACTAACCATGCACCAGACAATCAAGTTCCGACCCTCAAACGATGCCCCAAAGGAAATTACCCAGCAAGATAGCACCGTCGCCTCTATCAAAGCGCTGATGACAACCATGACGAAACAAGTCGAAGGTTTGGAGAACAAAATCTCCGAGTTGAACTCAACCGCAAAGGCAGCTTTGCATAACAAGAACAGGATATCTGCCCTTTCAGCGGTGCGTTCTAAGAAGCTGGCCGAACGTAACCTGCAACAGAGGCTAGACACCCTGGCACAACTAGAGGAAGTTTACTCTAAGATAGAGCAAGCCACCAGCCAGGTTGAATACGTCCAAGTGATGGAGGCAAGCACAGGTGTTCTTCGTGGCCTCAATACTCAGATTGGGGGGGCTGAGAGGGTTGAAGATGTGGTTGATGAATTGCGCGACGAGATGTCCAAGGTGGACGAGATTGGAAACATAATGAACGAGGCTGGTCCCCAGATCGACGAGGCGGAGATAGACGAGGAGCTCGAGGAGCTAGAGAACAAGGAGCGACAAGCCAGGGAAGAGGAGGAAGCAGAAAAGACTCGTCAAAAGCT